TGTGTGTGTGTGTGTGTGTGTGTGTGTGTGTGTGTGTGTGTGTGTGTGTGTGTGTGGCTTTATCTCAGACAGCTCATAACTAATTAAAACACCCAGACTGTGTTTTTATGGACCCTTTTCAAAGCCCTGTAGAGGTGTGATGGATGTAAGCTGTACAAAGCTCAGAGGTTCTGATTGATTCTTAATGACCAGATTTCATGTCTTTTGTTTGTAGAGTATATCTAATTTATGTCATAGTTAAATGAAGTATAGATTTTTTTTAATGTCCAATGCCCAAAACAACTCATCAACCTTAATCACATCAGTCTAAAGTCAACCTGATTCAACACGAAACATTTCTTTCTTGTATCAGATTGCAGATAATGATATTTATAAGTTTTGATCAAATTAAGATAATTTGAAACTCAGGTATGAAATTCCTTCCTGGAATGTAGAGATTTAATTTGAAAAAACTTTTTTTTTTTAAAGAAATGACAACCGAGTATTTCATCAAGCTGCGTGTTTGAGTCTTACAGTCCCTTCSAAAGGTACTGGAACAGCAATCTCTTGTTTTTATTGTACACTGAAGACATTTGGGTTTACGATCCAAAGATGAGCGTAAGACAAGAGTTTATGTTGGTTTAACCAGAAATACCTACTTTATAAATTTAAACCYAGACAAAAAGTAGACTAGTCACGCAGAGCTATTTAATGTTTCCATCAACCTTAAAGGCAACACCTGGTCAATAAGAAACACCTGTCAGTCACATGTTCACTTGAAAAAAGTGTGGATTGTAACAAAGGGTGGTATGCTCTGAGTTGTTTAACACATGCAAATACCAGTAAATAAATGTTGACATTCTGAACTCTTGCCTCAGGGTTGTCTTTTGATCCTAAACCCAAATGTCTTCAGTGAACAACGAAAATAAGAGAGTTTGATTTGCTGTTCCAATACTTTTGGAGGGAACTGTATATCTCTTTGCTTTCTCTGAGGGTTCAGTAGTAAAAATCCCAATAAACCTCTCCTTCTGCACAAATAATGATACWACCCAACATCTAAAATATACATGCTCATGTCGTGTGAACAGAAGTAAAAAAAATCAACTCCATCAAAGCCCTTTTCTGATTCCTTGCACCTAACTGGAAAGCTCATTGGTGAGCCAGATGGATAGCCCTTCATCAGCACTAAACAACAACAACAACAACAACAAAAATGAAGCTCCTATGTTGACTAGTTTTTGAGTTATAAGCATTTTTTATGTCCAGAAACCCCGTCTTTAGATGCAGCCCCCTCCATAAATATGGGGTTTATCATAAAACCAGTGGCTGCAGTGTAGAATGGACACATCTACGTTCCTGCCAAATTACATGTTGATCAGTGCAGCTGTTTCAGTGATACGTTGACCCCCGTAACACGTGCAGTGGTCATAACAAAGTATATGTCTGGCTAGCCATTAGCCTAGCATGGATGAAGACTTGCCTCCTTCTCCATAATCTGTGCTCAACAACTGATGTCACAGATGATAAGATATTCACATCACTTCCAAAAAAAACCAAACTGTCCCTTTCATTGTTCATAATTTTTCCATAGAACCCCAGTTCAAAATGTCTGAACCATCCATTTAAAGGCACAGTGTGTAGGATTTGTTTTCAGCGACATCTAGTGGTTGAGTGGTTGAATCATCCTCCCTGGTCCTCCCCCCACCCCCACCCCCGCTTCCAAACCCAAAGGAGTTGCTACGGTGTCTCTCAGGTGTCAAAAACCTTTGATAATTCCAACCGCGATGTCTTCCAGCAGCTTCAGGGCTAGTGATGTTTCAAGTGGTAAGATTATGAGCTTTAATAAGTAAAATTATCCCAGCTACAATGACAGACAACAAATATTACATTTATAGTATTACAACTAAAACCGTTTTTGATGCCGCCACCGCAGTTTGTCCTTCATGAGCCTTCGTAGACAAGATGGCGATCCAAGATGGCAGCAGCTTGTAGTGGCGACCCGCGACCATGGAGATATAAACAGCTTTTTATAAGGTAAAAATAATAAAACAAGGTCTTTGTCTGCAATGATTAGACATGTTTTTTATTGTTGTCATTAGTGATTATCTCAATTTCGGCTAAAAGAATTGACAAAATCCTACACACTGTGCCTTTAAAAATAGATGCAATTTTGTGCATGTAAACATAAAAATATAAATTAAGAAATTTGTGAGCCACTGACATAAATTTTGAAAAGGCATTAATTTGAAATGTTTAAACATTAATAGTTTATAATTTCCCCTCTTTAGTATGCATTCCAAGTGTCTGGTTGTTTCGGGCCTGAAATCATTGTCTACAAATGACAAAACTTACAGTATTGTATGGTAATTATGCTATTTATTAAGACTAAAAGTGATAAATGTACATTTTTTAAAATTAATAAGCACTTCTTGGTTTGGCCTTGGTACTAATAATGACATTTTTTTAAAACAAACTGCATGAAACCAGAAAACAATGTAGCACCTTTGTGAGTGAAACGAGCCAGAGACACTTTCATACATGCGTGCTTTCTCTGTGGGGCTCACCTCATGACCTAATCCAACTGAAACACTAGACTTGTATGGTGCAGAGCATCAGTCTCTGCAGAAACATTAAGTTGCCTGTCAGAATGAACAGGACTACTCAGTCTGGTTCCCATCTAGGGCGAAGCGTACGAATCCACTGCTCCTCCGAGGCTCGTTCCGCTCCAGCTGTGGTCCTCCTCCAGCAGCACCCTGGGAATGATGATGACTGGGTCGGAGAACCTCATCCTTAGAATCTCTAGGAGGCAGTACGTGGTTTAGATACCAGAGAAGAAACACAAAAAGAGAGACACGTGATAAGGCATTTTCCTCAGGTGAAGAACAAGTTCTTGAGCTGAGCACCTCGTGACCACTCATTACAGGGTAACTCAGGAGAAAGAAGCTCAAAGAGACAGTCATGGGGGAAAAGAATCCATCTATTTACAGATTTAGAGTTTTACATATCAGGAGATACTAGGTCTATTATGGTCTGCTCTTACCAGGTTCTAAAATTCTTCAAATCCAGAAAAACACACAACAGATTCTGTTGTCATTAAAGTGTGAAAATGGAGTTCCACCCTTGCTGTTTGCATTAGTTTCGCGAAGTAAATAATTAAGGTGCTGCTGATCAAATGTAATGATTCACTGATCATCATCAATGTGATCACCTCTAGAACAGCAGGGGTCTCATGTACAAAGAGTTGCATGGATTTCTTACTGAAACCTGATGTACGGTCAAATCCAGAAAACGGCGTACGCACAAAAAATCCAGATGTATCAAACCGTGCGTACACCGGAATCCACGCACATTTCTTTTGTACATCACAATCAACGTGGAACTGAGCGCACGTAAGACACCTCCCCTGACACGCCTTCATTAACATATAGACAGATTACTTCCTGCATGTGTGAAGGACGTGTTTGTTTGATCCCTGCGCGATCAGAAATGATTTCTAATGTCATAAAAATAATGAATTTAATATAATGTGAGTGAGAAGAAATATCCCAAGTAAAAATAGGAATAAAATGTGTTTATCACGCAAAGAATAAGTGATTGTGTGTCGGTGTGTGCACGCTGTTTTGTTGCGCAACCTGCTCATCCATCCATTCTGTGTCCGAAAATATTAACTTTGCACACGAGTTTATTACCATAATTACTGTAAACACAGAGGAACTTAGATGTTTTGTAGAACATAGATCTGAGTTTATTTCATAGCTGATTTGAAGAAACGAGTCTCCGCACGTCAGTAGAGTTRACATGATGTGACGTGATGTTGGAGAGTCCCCACAAACGTTGCGCGCCGCAGCCTTTGTGTGCAGTCTTTTTGTCTGTCAAGCTTTTGCTCTCCTACTTACAGCATTTTCACAAGTGGTAAAGTGTACTTCCACGTGTCATTTTGGAGACATGGTAGCGGTGTGCGACTGCTCTTCTTCTGAATAATTGAAAACTATGTAATACAGTTGTTTACACTTAAATTAAAAACATTTGACCAAAGAAAAACCGGAGCAGGACTAGAGAGAGATGAATATGATTTTTATTTTTATTTATGTGACTGTGTACGTTTGGAGTCAGTTTAGCTTGTTTGTCGTGCTAGCGTCGAGCTAATACATATAAGGCYATATAGCGTTGGTGCTAGCGCAAAGGCTAACAGGCTAAGCTAAGGTTCTTCTTCCGTGAAGCAGCTCTGTTGTCCTCCATCCATATTTTCAGTTACAGGCTGAGTCATTTCTACCTTCTCCTCTCTGT